CGGGAGGAGGAGAGAGGACGAGGAGGAGGAGGAGGAGGAAGGGAGCGGGCGAACGAGCCACACCATCACGAAAGCAGACATGCACCATTGGCGCTTTCAGCCTCTTGGGGCGCCATCCTCGCAATCTACTGCGGCCTGATATGTTGTTTTGCGGTCCTTCGGGTGTGGGAGGGGCGCTCGACGCGGGTTTGGGGGGGGAATGTTCGAGCCTTCTCCTGGGAGCCTTCTAGCATCCCTCGGTGGCCCTGGGGAGCTTTTGGAGGATGTTTGGGGGACTGTTCGAGCCTTCTCCTGGGAGCCTCCAAGCGTCCCTCGTTGGCTCTGGGGAGCTTTGGGAGGACTTGGGCTCCTTTTGGGCGGCTCTGGGAGACGTTTTGAGCCGCCTTCTGGGGGGGCCTCCTGCTGGCCCCTCCCGGGGACAACGGCAGCTTTCTTGTGCAGTTCCGGGGGCAGCTTGGAGGCCCGTCTGGGCAGCCTTGGGGGTATCTTGGGGGCGCCCTCCTCCCTCCTCCTCCTCCTCCTCCTCCTCCTCCTCTTTCACGGCCGGGCCTCCCTCCTCCTCCTCCTCCTCCTCCCTCCTCCTCCTTCCTCCTCCTCCTCCTCCTCCTCCTCCTTCCTCCTCCTCCTCCTCCCTCCCAGCCGGGCCTCCAGCACGGCCGTATCTTTCAGGCGATCGCAGACATGGATCAAGGGAGCGTGGATCAGCGACGGGTCCCGTTTGCATAGGAAGTCGCGGGCTTCCGCCGCCGAGCGAGGCGGCACCGGCCGCATTTTGGGGTGATTGCCGCCGCCGAGCGAGGCGCCACCGGCCGCACTTTGGGGAGGACACCTCCCCCGTTCCATGGATTTGGCAACCGCGCGCCAAATCCATGGATCGCTAATCCATGTTTGCGCGCCCGAGATATTTGGGGGGTCCCTGGTAAACGTATCTTGCACGTGGCTTCCGGATCTCGGGAGGTCTTGAGGGGCTCTCTTGGAAGCGTATTGGGGGCGTCGTGCTTCTTGGCGCCAGCACAGTGGGCCAATTTGGGATTCTTTTTCGAAGGAACCGCGGGCCAAGCCAACTGAAAACCAGACGCTGTCCCAACCATCTTGTGGTATTGGGTCTTCGACTTGGATCAGCAGCGCCCCGCGTCTCTGCCATCTGCATGGGCAGATTGCGGCACACCCCTCCCGCGGTTCCTCGCCCCACAGGGAGCTCCATCGCAGGCCCCGGTGGCAAAGCTCGCACGCGCTTTTGCAGGCCAACTGCGGCGCACCCCGCACGCGGCTCCTAACCCCGCAGGGGAGCTCCGCCGAGGGGTCTCCAGTGGCGAAGCTCGCGTTCGCTCCCGCCGCCCACCTCGGCACACACTCCGCGGGCGTGCCCCGTGGCCTCCAGGGGAGCTCCGCCGAAGGCCCCAGTGGGCATGTTCGCATGCGCTCCCACGGCCCATCTCGGCACACACACACACACACACACCTCCCACGCTTCGCGGCCCCACGGGGAGCTCTACCGAGGGCCCCAGTGGCGAAGGTCGCGTGCGTTCCCGTCTCTAGTTTCGGCACACCTCGCCCATGTTTCGTGGCCTCATGGGGAGCTCCACCGCAGGCCCCAGTGGATATGTTCGCATGCGTTCCCCTCCGCCCTTTCCGGCACACCTTTCACACGCGCTGTGGCCCAACAGGAGGACCCAGTGGGCATGTTCTCATTCGTGTTCGCCGCTCATTTCTGCACATCTCCCCAAGGGGAGGTCTACCGAAGGCCCTAGCGGCAAAGCTCTGATGAAAAGAAAGACATTAATGTTCTGCGCTATTCGCAGTTGAATATGGTTGGAGGTCGGGTCATTCTCCTTGCTATTCTGCACATCCACGGTTTCGTCATTCGAAGCGGAAATCTGACCTTGATTGTTGGCGGTCCGCCGAAGCTGTGTATACATAAATATATACACATCTAGTTGGGCGTTGGGGAATGTAGACGCTCATCGGCTACCTGCAGCCCAGAGGGCTGGGTGGATTCCACGAAGCCGTAGCCCCCCTGGATTTTGGGTGTGCGGCCATGACGGTGCGCCAGTTTTGCTCGAGCGGGCAGTGATGTAGGATCATGCCCAGTCGAGCGAGTCCGTCCAGTATTGCTTTCCTCACTGCCCTTTTTTTGTGGAAGGCGATATCTGTATATCAGCCTGCTGAGTGAACCTTATAAGTTATGATGCGTACTTGCCTGTCGCCCCTGGAGGAGTAAAGGAATATCATAACGGGGAGGAAGAGCAGGAGGACAGGTGGAAGTCGTGCTTGCGCATCCGAGTGTTTGTGTCATCCGTATTCCCGTTCCGCATGCTTTCACAGTCTACCACATGATACTGTTGTGTTCTAGTTCCTTGTCGCTCATTGCGTGCACAGCAGCTGGTGCGCGTGTGTATGTTTCACTGTTTGCTGGACAATCCTGAAATCTCTGCCTGACAATCAAGTATGAATTCCCAACTTGGACGGAGGCTCGACTTTGGCTGTGCAAGCCCGCTTCTGGGAAAAAACGGATCTGCACCCTTGCCTGCGAACATCCGCAGACTGTGCGCCCACATCCACACGCACGATCCTTCTCTCCCCTCCTCCGCTCCTCTCCTTCCCTCTCTTCCCTCCCCCTCTCTCTCTCTTTCTCTCTCTCTCTCTCTCTCTCTCTCTCTCTTTACACGTAACACCCCCTCCACTCCTGCTCGTCCTCCCTCCCCCTCCCCCCGACGCCGACCTCCGCGGGCTCCGGATCTCTCCGAGGCGGACGCGCACACGGGCGGCCCCCGGGGGCCGGGCCACCGGGAGACTTCTCCCCCCTTCACGCCCAGCATCGAAGACGCCTGCGGCGAATCACCGCCGCCCTCCTTCGTCGTCCTCCCTTCACCCCCCCCCCTCCTTCCCTTTCCCCCTCCCTCGGCTCCCTCTCCCCCCTCTCCCTCTCCCTTCCCTCCTGCTCGCCCTTCCTCCGTGTTCTCTTTCTCTCGGCCTCTCCTCCGCCCCCTGCCCTTTTGGAAGCGCCTGTGTGGCCGAACGCTGTGGCCAGAGGCCTGCCAGGCTATCGGACCACGCGTTCCCCGAATCGGTTT